TGGCGTTTGATCAAGGGGCAAGTCGGCCCCAGGGCACAATTACCGCGAAAAGCACAGGAGCCCCACAAAATGCCTGGCGTTTGAAATTAAAGAAAATACATAGAATATAGCGGAATATAGACGGAAAAAAACTTGTTTCAAGTCTCTTTTTTAATTTTAATTATTTTTCTTTTTAGCGCAAAAAGTGGGGGCGGGGGCGCAAAAAAGTGGTGGGGCCGCGGCCCTACCAGCCCCTCCCCCTCCGCGGTCCCTGAAAGTTTCCATCACTCATTGTGGAGTAGCCGTCATTAACTCTGCCATTACAAGGGCCGTTGATAAGAGGACACAGTAAATCCACGTAAAAACATTCCACAGGCAAACAATTTCAAATAACGCCAAAAAATTATTCTGTAATCACCATAGAACGATTCTTAATACAAAACTCCGCTAACTATCGAACGATGGCTGAGATTTAGACAGATAAAAACAGCCTTCCAAATTCTCGGGCAGTTTAAACTATGTTTGAAACAGGTTCCATTTCAAATGCCTTCGGCCTCGGTGGATAACACCATCCTCGATCTGCATAATTCTTCATATCCTACTCAGCCTCATTCATTAATTGCTAATTAAACAGTCTAGTTAAAACCTACTTTGCATTTTACTTGTAAAAACTACATCTTAAATCCCTGATAAAACGTTATTCTTTTGAAATCACAGTTAAGATGCGGTATTTGAAAAAGGTTTGAGCACTCGTCAGTACTCTTGTTCTAAAAAATGGTTTAAGTATCAGCTTAAAATATAGTTTTAATACAAAATATGTTTCAAATACAGGGAATATTATATTCAAATAGATCCCAAATACATTTTAAACTTCCGTGACTATTTTGTTTTTTTCTTTGTTTGTTTGTTTTTTTGTAAAATATAATAAAATACCCCAAATTGAGGTAAAATGGTTTTTAAAAAACTAAAAAATAGATCTTTAAAAGAATGTAACTAATAATCAGGGTCTAAACAACAGGCTTAAAATTCTCGCTCTACTACTGGCTAAGACGTTTGTATTATTACAAATGATAAGGTCAAGACTCGCATATTATTATGTTATTTTAATTTTTTTTGCATCACTAAATGGCACTAGTATAGAAGTCACAATATGGTATACCCTCACCTATTTAGTGTATTCCAGATAAGATGCACAATAATTAGGTTTGCAATATTTTTATAGCGTCTGTTAAGATTGACAAGACAGGGGCGGATCTAGGGGGAGGGTGCAGGGGCTGCGCCCCCTCCCTGAGATGACCTGCGGTTTTCTAATACAACTGGTATTCTGCAAAAAAAAATCTATGCGGTTTATTGGTGTTGAAGTAGAGCAAGAGACGAGTGCACCCCCTCCTAAAAAAGATCCTGGATCCGCCTCTGCAAGATTAGTTCCTTCTGTATCATTGTTGTGTTTCTCTCGTTAGGGTATCATTACGTCCTGTTTTTCTAAGAAAAGCTACATTTAAAAACTGTCAAGTTAAGTCACGACAGTCCTTATGTAATGAAATAAGTAATTTCGAGGCATCAAAAATGCGAGGATCACAGTTTTCTTGTTTTATCTTTGCATCACACTTAATCACAAACTGCTTTTCCTAGTGCGTTACCTTGTCAGAAATTTGGTTGTAAGTCATCGTGCATTAATAAAAATTGATCATCTAGCCTTGTTTGGAAAGGTGTCCATACACATACCAAGGGAGAAGAGTAGAAACCGGCGCTAGTAGACTAAAAATGAACATAGATCCAACGGAATGTCTTAACTGGCTTGCTTTGCTATAAACAGGTTATCTAATTCACTGATTTATTTTTTATGTTCCAAAATTCTACCTTTGATTTTTCGTGGAAAAAAAAAGTGGACGGTATATCTTCAGTTGACGTCCTTGAGTTAGGTTATTCACTTCAAACTCAATATACCGTTGGTCAGCACAATCACCTCACCATTTTCAACTCGCGTTTCCTCCCCGAGTGGAAAGCAACAGAAATCTTTGATTTTTCCATTTCCCGTGATGATGGAGCACGGCTCTCTTCCCACCCTTCCGAGAAAAACCGATCCTTCAACCCCTCTTACTCCGACGATTACAGAATTAGGTGGTATAGGGTCGCCTCTTGATGCTCGAATCCATTGATGACCTGTGTCACGCAACAGCTCGCCACTTTCCTCGTTTTTGCTTTCTCCTGGAATCCAGAAGCTACACTGACCATTCATGGAAGCAACAGGGCATGGTATAGCTAGGGTTGAACGACCAACATAGTACTCAAAGCCGTTCGTCGCACTGCTGCCAGCTTTAACGATCCCGTCGGGGACTGCGTCTCCCTTCTTGGCTGAAATCCAAACTGGCTCAGGATTCGCCTGGATAAGATAGAAAGCTCCCAAACTGCTCGTCTGTTTTACAAACAAGCATCCAAAGTTGACATAATCAACTTTATAGTCCATAATCCACAACTTCGATCGCGCATAGAGAGAAGCCCACATTGCGGATGAATCATCTACGGGTCCAATGGTAAAAGACATGGTCGTTTGTGGAGGAATGATACAAAAATGCATGCTTATTAAGTACGAATTTAAACTGCTGGAGTTTGCCTGAGACTCTTGCTGGCCCTTGGACAATTCTTCTACTCGACTGACAAACTCGCTTGCAACTGTGAACGCTCTGATTGTTTCCCTTCGTAGGCGGAAGTATACGTTCTCTTCAGCTTGATTTGTAACGTAAATGTTGTACATGGTATAACCTGCGAATTCAAAATAGATAAGAAAAAATGTATGTAAATGGTGCTTGTACATGTAACTAAATATTTTTAACACAGGATCATTGGCAAGATAATCAGTATGGATCGCTTTACAATTATACCTGTCTCCAGTGAATTGTAGCTTAAAAGGAACAACTTTGTTAAAGTTCCTGACACGTTTTAATGTACACGAGACTGAAAAGACGGAAAATCACCTGACGAACCCGTGAAAAATTACAATCGCACCAACCCTCTCCCCTTCCGGGACAAACTCGTTTCCAGGCCCTTATCTACCACGCAGGCTTCTACGAGAAGCTTATGGTCGCTTGATATATTATCATTAAATGCTCTTTGTCCGCAGTTGGTGACACAATTCAAAGTCAGCTAAAACTGCAACTAATCGGATAACAGCAAAAACACCAGCAAAGAAAGGGGGGAACTAGGTTTATCGAGAAGATACAAAAGGTGAAAATTAACTCACCTTCCAAGAATAGGGACCCTTCGAAATCCAACGGCGACCATATTGGGGAAAACAAAAACGCAATAGCTCCAGTGACCAAAACAACAACCGCAGTTGCACGTGCATCACACTTAAAATTCCTTTTCCTTCACCGTACAACGACAAGGCAATAAACTTTGCCATAGTATGTAATATATATCTGACTCGACTCCGCAGTCCTCTCGTCTCAGCTCCAACCTTATTTCCCAACTTCTAAATGACTGCACGGGTTGAAACAGTTGCTAAAGGAAGCGGTCACTTTTCCGGAGACTTTTTTCATTGACGTCACCGTTTTTGGATCGTAAGTTCCCTAATAGCGAAATCAATTTAAAAAAGGTACTGCGTCAAGGCAATTCGATGTACAGTCGACTCTCTCTTAACGGACACCTCTATAAGACGGTCACCTCTGTAAAACGGACACTTAGAGTTGGTCCCTGCCTTTCTTTACTCCCTTTATTTGACCCTCTATAAGACAGACACCTCTCTAAGACGGACACTTAGTGCCGGCCCCAAAGGTGTCCGTCTTAGAGAGAGTTGATTGTAGTGTGAGTTAATAGATTAGTAATGGTGCCAAATGTGCCGGTAGCGCAATTTCTCTAGGATATATTTTTTTTATAAGTTATTATTATTTGTTTCATTTTTATTATTATTATTATTATTATTATTATTATTATTATTAATTATTTTGTTGTTTCTTTTTGTTTGTTTCTTTGTTTTTTGACGTTGAGCTAAACTTTCCCCAGATTTGACATCCACTACATCAAGTTTATCAGTGTTAAGTGTTCCCGTCTCACATAAGCCTTAAATAGTAATCAAAAACTTCGTACCCTTCAACTGAGCAGTCTTCAAAAGGTAAAACGTCAACAATATTCCCTTCCCTCTTTGTCAGTAATATAAGGTTCAGCACAAGATCCTACTTTGAACTTTATTTCGACCCCCACAAAATTCAAAATTTAAACAAAATTGTTGTCTTGAAGGTATCCTGTAATCTGAAACGTATGGACTGTTCTTTGCTCGTCAGCTTTTCAAATCTGCAGACAACTTGAAAAACTGAGCTCTGTAAACCGTAAAAATCGGCAGTCCGTTTGACGGATAGATTAAAATAATAATAATAATAATAATAATAATAACATCGCACTGAAGGAAACTGAAAAAAAAGCAAGTACAAAGACCTAGAACTAGAAATACAGAGAATGTGGCATATGAAAACCGTAGTGATCCCTGTGGTTGTTGGTGCGCTTGGTACAGTGAAGAAGGGTAAGATCTGCATGCTGGGATCTGCGCGAATCCTCAGAAAGGTGCTCAGTGTATGAACAGAATGATTGACTTGAGTGACTGACGCTCTAGGTGCATGGTTTGCGCCCGGCTGATGCACAATAAGAACACCAGCAAAGACTGTGATAAAAGAGATAATAATAATAATAATAATAATAATAATAATAATAATAATAATAATAATAATAAAGTCTTTATTCATCAAAAGATAAAAATACATATCTTTTGTTACAAGTAAGTGTAAGAAATTTTTAAAAGTTAAAAAGTTATAATTAAAAAAAATATATCTAGTATATTACATAGCTAAATTCATATTTAAAAACTAAACGATTAATAAAAGAGTTTTTAAAGCGCATAGTGTTAATCTTAGGTTTAAAACAAGTTTCTTTCCTAAGATTGTAACTGGACGGTTTAACACGAGGCATAATAGATAACAGTGGATGTCCTTTAGCATTAGAAACTTTTCTGAAAATGTTACGGTCTTGCCTCTCTAAGAAAACATAAGCACGTACAGGCTTAGACGTATATTTCCTTTTAAAACAGCGGTCTGAGAAACATTGTACAAGTGTAATATCGGACTCGGACGAGGCGTAGACAGGTTATGCGTAATTAATATTAGGTAGAACTATTGCATTAAAGAGAAGGTCTATTTCTGACTGATTGTACCCCTCTTTGCGCAGCGTTCTAAGGATATGTAGCGATTTGTTAGCTTTAATAAGTTTGTTCTTCACGTGCACTGAAAATTTGCTGTCACAGTGGAAGGTGATGCCCAAAATCTCAACTTCTTTACAGCTTGGTATCATCCCAATAGGTGAATAGAGATCGTGGTTGCCTCTCTTTTTGATTGTCAACTCTTAACATTTTCTTGGGTTGCAAGACATTCCATTTGTATTCGTCAAATTTAGAAACTGTGACACTAACTGATCGGAGTAGTCTACCTCCTTCCATACAGGAAAGATCATTGAGAAAGATGTTAAAAAGGTAAGGACCGCTAACTCTACCTTGAGTTGCCCTTTTGTTAACCGGTTTCCAGTCACACTCAATGTTGCTGCAACATACCCATTGTTTTCTATCTTTTAAAAAGTTCAAGTACCAATTGGTAATATATGGATTCAGTGGGAGCTTTTTTAATTTATTAGCAAAAAGTTCATGTTTCACAGAGACAAAAGCTTTGCTGAAGTCCATAGCAAAAAGGCGAACTGTTTTACAATCGGGGTTATCCAAGTAGCTGTTGATCCTATGTCGAAATGACAAGAGAGAGTCGGTACAGTTTCCACCTTTTCTGTAGGCGAATTGTGAGGTGCTGAGGTGGCTTTCAATGGTCTCGCGGGCATAGCAGTGGTACACAATTTTCTCAAAAGCCCTCGTTATAACAGGAGTTATATTAATGCCGCGATAATCACCATGTCCTTTAGGAACATCCACTTTGGGGAGGGGGATGATAATCGAACGCTTCCACGATGATGGCAAACACTGAGTTATGTTTAGGAAATATTTTGAGAAATGATAATCTTCGTGTTAAAGCCGAATCGGCTTTCTGACTACTGAATGGCGACAGGAAATGAGTTCAATTCGTGTCTTCAAACAGAGTGTAAGCAATTTGAAATCCCGCCAAAAGACGCGCATTGCGGAAGTTTGATTTCAAGACTCCTGATAAACAAAAAATTATATGTCATTCACCTTCAATCTTTTTCAAAATGGTCAGACCTGAATTCTTAATCAAAAACTGAATCTTAATGTATAATTTTCAATTTAACCGGATTAACAAAAACAGATTAATGGCGGTATCACTTTGTCTAGTCACCTTCTTAAGGATGACTTCTATTTTTGTAATTAAATCTCAATAAGTTCGTCATTTTGCCGTTTAGGCCATAAATGTAAATTATATGATTTCAAATAATAACTTGCTCTTCTAACTTTATTTAGAAAGACAATACAGTTCTCCTTTCCAATCAATGGGTTCGCAAAGTGGTCGAGCAGTCTTCCATGACAGCTGTGTATCAAAAAAGACGTCGTCGCTGGTTGGCAGAAAGCTGAGAGTAAACATTTTCTATTTTGTATGTGGGTGTTAATGGCATTTTTAATTTGATGTTATGCCTTAATGTTAGTGTTTTCAACGCGCCTGGAAAAGCTTTGTGTTTACAAATTAATTGAAAAAAAAAATTAATTTACAACAACAAAGATGTCGGCCTAATTTTGGGCCTATGATCGAGATACTTCAATTAAAATTCTTTTGAAATATGACTTTGTAACTTAGTACCAGACGTAATTTACGTAAGAAGCTAAAATGTTTTCATTTACAACTCTAAACTTGCGTCAAAGCTTCTAAAAGCTCTGCCAACGCTTGATATCGCTGAGAACGTTCTGATTTAAAAGAAAAAAGTTTTTAAGAGGTTAAAACAACTTGGTGAAGGAAATGTTTTCTTTCTTCCTTTGTCTCGTGGCGCTTGGGATTTGTGCCGTGTCGTCTGCAGATCAGAATGAACAATGTAAGTCAAATATTTTGTTTGAAAAACGCGCTTGCGAGAATTGAAGATTACACACTGAAATATTGAAAACTGATTCTTTAAAGGAGACCCCTTTTTGATGAATAAGAAATTGTAAAGCTGTAAACAAATTTAAGGTTTCAAAACCGAGATTATATCAGCAATATTTGGTTGATAAAAACTGCTTTTACTTACCCTTTGATTTCTACGTCTTTTAATCTGGAGCAGCAGTTGACAGATACATAGAAGAAAATATTAAAGTGGAATGCTTCTTGCACTCAAGATTTAAAACTTTTTAAATAGTGTTTTTATATTTCCTCCCATCTTAATAAAATACAAAAAGAAATAGCAAGAAAAAAAAAGAAACGAAAAAGATAAAAAGGAGACATTGAATTCAATACTTTTTGCCAGTCGAGAGAGTAAAAGATATGGTTAATTTGATTTTTCGTAAAAAGGAACAGAAAAAAGTTTTAATGCTTGTTTGTAAGGTGAGTCTACTAAAATAATGAGAGATGATTATGTAGACTGCCATTTGATACTGGTTTCAAAGGACTGGAATATCACCCAACTTTAAAAAGCGCAAATCTCCTTTATCTCCATTAATCCTCTATCGGCTGTAACTCTAGCCTTATTGCCATACTCAAGGGGAAAAATAAGCTCAACCGAAACTCTCGAAAATTTCGGTCAAAAACTGAATGCCGCGGAAAGAACTAACTGAAAACTCTGGCAGAAAAA